GGGGGGGGGGGGGGGGGGGCAAGGGCCCTCAGCTGAATTGATGGTGGAGAAGTCGAGTGGCATCTTTGTCATGGAAATGTTAAGCACATAATAGTTGAGCAGCACAATAGGGAGGCACTTCATTCTTTCAGGCCGGCTTGACACCTCTGGAGAGCCGAGCGGCGGGGAAGCATGTGGGAACGATCTGCTGCTGCCCGGCCCTCAGCCTCCACTGTAAGAAAAGAAGAGGAAAACACACGGGGGCTGGAGGAGGATGCTTTGTTTCCCACATATTGTCCAGTGTCTTTCTACCTGTGTTTTAGTACTTATAATTCAATATATTGGGGGGGGAAAAAAAATGCTACTTTCAGGATAAAAACTGAACGTTTTAAGATGCTAAATTTGAGATGGCGAACAGGTTAAACTGGCGAGTTCAGAAATGACCCTGGGATTCAGTGGCTTCTAAATGAAATACCTTGTCAGTTTCCAGCAGTGTGGGGTAACGCGATCCACCGCGCATGAAGCTTTCCAGGCAGGAGAATAAGCTCTGCAGCTCAGCCTCTCCTCCTCCCCCTTGTCTTTCTTTTTGCTCCTCACATTTGTTCAGGCAGTTTCAGCACTTAGGAAAAGCACAGCATGTGTTGATTAGGCTGTAAGAATGCATGATGTGTGAATGGATGAATGAAGTGCAAAAAATCTCACCAAACTGCATGCTGATCATAAAACCAAATGGTTTGTTCCGTTAGGATGACATTTTCAGTGTTTTCAAGGATTTAAAATAATATATAATTATTAAAAGGTCTGGCATTATTTGAAAGAATGCATATTACCCACATCTTCCACGCCAGCTATTTATTTCAAGGTCACCATTTGTTGTGGTCACTTCAGTCAAACCTTGAAAATAAATCTATATACTCAACATGCTCAGAGCATGTGTTCTGGGTTAGTCTCAGCTACTTCCATGTGAAATTTTAATTAAATATATGTAACAATGAGTGAGTTATGGCTATTTTTTGTGTCGGGTAATTTTAATTAGTTGAGGTGGCCATCTTTAATTATACTGACTCTAAATGTTATCCTCTTGTAGATATTTGTCCAATTTCCACTTTCTGAATGTTTCATTAAAATCCATTCAGTGGTTTGAGAGTTATTTTGCTAACAGACAAACATGGTTGACACCAACACTTACTAGCAAAGTTTAAAGCAAAGATCTTGTGCAAAAAGTAGCATTTGGACTATATGTTGTGCATGAATCTAACCGTACCAAATTTAAGAACAGTGTCTGGTAAACTAACTGAATTATTGCTATTTTTGTGTTTTAACGTTTCAATTGACTTGTGCAAGCATCTTAATATGGATTGGCTTGAAAATTTAATCCACTGTAGATGTGTACCTATTGATCACTTCTTGAGAATTTTATTCAAATCCATCCAGTGGTTCATAAGATATTTTGCTAACAGACAGGCTTACACACTCAGATTGGCATTGACACTGCCCACCTTCACCTTCCAGAGGAGGGCAATAGTAAAGCTTTGTCTAAAAGTGCTTCAGAGTTACCACAGCAGATTAATGCACTCTCCTCTTTCTTCACGAGCACAGGCGAGTTTGTGTGTAGATGTGTGTGTGTGTGTGTGTGTGTGTGGGAGGGGTGGCTTTTGGGTTTAATTTACAAACTGTGGCTGTTTGTGTTCCAGCTCTTTGAGCGTGTGTAAGGTATCTCTGCCATCAACTTTGCTTCAGCGAGCTTCGTTCTGTTGGCCTCCAGAACAAAATGGCCCACACTTCACCCCATGCAGATCAGCTCACCTCGAGCTTATCACAGCACAATGTTTACAGAGGTGCAGCACGGCGGAGACACTGGAGATCTCCGCCTGCTTCCAACGTCTTCCCGTGAACATTTAGAATCATCCCTGCTGCATTTTTTCCCCTTCAAATCACAGAATCCTTTCCTTCCTGTCTCCACCCTAATTGAGCAATAAAAGATAAGATGAACAAGTCAAGTTTTCATATTTTCATTCGTGTAACTTTTTCCTTTTCCACACTCGAGCAGTTAAGAAAATATTTGCCCTTAGCCCTACTTTCTCTTGCAGAGTTTCTCGTAAAGTTCAGGCAGAGTTGGCACAAACGTGCTTGTATATTAAATCTTGAGTGAAAGATAAATAGAAACCGTTATGGATTCTGCAGCTCAAACCTAAATGAAAAAAATTAAAAAAAACACGCGTCCTGGTATAAAATATTGTAAATGCTGACTCAGCATTCACAAAATTACTTCCTGCTTATTTTCCTGTATTTTTTTCATGTTTTTGCTTTCTGCTTCTGCACAATTTGTGCTCTTTTAGCCATTCAGCTCACAGAGCCATAGATGCTGCACATTTTATGCTTTTCAAAGTATTTACATTTTAAATACAAACATTTCCCGTAGAAAACTACTGAAATCTCTTCAGCTCCTTAAAATATTCTCTTCAAAATCTGCTTAAGATATTTCTGTCTTATGTTCTTTTTAGTGTTTAGCAGCAGTTCTGCTACTTTTAGCCAGCTTTTCCCTTTTTTTTTAATTGTTAACTGATTTTTTAGTAGCTTTTAGCTTTTAGCAAGCTTTTTGCTACAATAGCTACCATTCGGCTGCTTTTAGTAAGTCTTGCTTACCTTGGCTTCTAGCTTTTGCTACTCGTCAGTTTTAGCTAACCTTTAGCCCAGCTTTTTCCTACTTTCAGCTTGCCTTTTGCTATTTTAGCTAGTATTTGGCTACTTTTGGCTTTTTTAGCATTGTGCTTCTTGTTCTGCTCTTTTTAGTTCAACTTCAACAAATGTCAGCAAGCTCTCTTTTACACAGAAAATGCATTTTCTTTTGTTTGATTAAACTAAACTTGTTTATCTAATATTTTTGAGCTAAACTGACATCGCATGCATTAAAGGTTTCTTCTTCTTGTGTTCACGCTGACAAGTTGCAGCCGTTTTCAGCCCTTGTGGAGAACGTTCTCCACCTAACGCGCTCTGTCCTTATTTCTCGGATGTGTTTGTTTTGGCCATGACTCCACGCAACATTGTGCAAAAACTTGATGTAAAACCAGCCGGACAGTTGCATTGGCTGAGATGCAGGCGGGGGCTCTGAGAGGGGAAGTTCATTGAAAGGATTTGGAAATAATCCCCTGAAGTTACCACAGTTTTTTTTTATGGAATTGTCTCCACCTTGACTCCCCTCTGTGTCCCTGCCAGCATTAAAATCTTTACTCAACACATATACTAAAACGTGTGTTGCTCTTTAGTCTGATCCCTGTTTCACTTTCACTTGAAATGTATTTTAGCACTTTAGGTTATTCCACGTCTTCTGCAGAAGCTCTCCTCGTCCTCGTCCTGGCTTGGGGAAAAGTCCCTGAATTCATTTGCAGGAGACACAAGTAACGCAGCAAAGCAAAGATCATTGATTTTGGATCTCGTTCCCTCGCTGCGTTGCTGATGCCAGGAGACTTTCAAGAAGCTCTTGTCGTTTCTCTCCCCACTATTTCAGCTGCCACTTTGATTTCATCATGTCAGACCTTTGCTGAGTTCTCAGCCCTTTGAACTGAGAAAAAGTCCTGTAATCCAGTTACTCTGGCTGCAGCACGACTCCTCATGTCCTGGGAGAAAATCTGCAGCACTAATCCCACTGTGACCAGGAGAAGGCCGTGCTACCTGACTGTTTGTGGCAGCCATTTGATTTATTTGCTGTTTAAAATGTTGCTGTTGAGCAACTCTTAAAGAGCGTCACAAAGTGTTAGCCTCATGTAGACTGGGTTGTGTTGTTTTAAAAAAAAAATACAAAAAATAATTATAATTTCAAACAAATTAGCTTAGCTGCAGAGGAATGCAGAGTTACTGTGGTCAGAATTACGATTTATATTCAATGTCCATAAGATTTTGGTGTAAACACAAAGTATTTGCGCTTCTGTACGGTTTTCGGCACATAACTCCTTTTTGTGCTATTTCATCAAATCATTTATCCAAATAATCATCTCATGCAGGACATTTCTGTCATGATTGTTGTCATTTGTGCAGCTTTTATTTTTTGAGATACTTTTCTTTCTCTGCCATGTTTCCTCATTGTCAATGAATGGAGCTCTTCACGTCCTTCAAGCACTTTGTGCTGTTTACAAAATGTTGCTGCGCATTTCAGCTTTTCTTCTGGTTCAGCTTCTTTGTGCTGATTGTTCCTTCCTTCACTTCCTTTCAGCTTCTTTTTACTCATTTCAGTTTTGTTATTTTTTCCACCTTCATTCTGCTAATTTCAGCGTTGTTATAGCAATTTCAGCTACATTTTAAACTAATTTTCATTCAACCTTTATTTAGACAGATAAGTCACACTGAGCCTCAAAGACTCATTTACAAGTGAGATCTGTTTAGACAGACAAAAAGTAGCGAAATTGGACACATGTAGGAATTGGGGGCGAAAAAATTCCCATCAGACTCTTTCTTCTTGGCTGAGAAGAAAAACTCTAATATTAAAAAACACCTCGCACAAACAGCACATAGTCACGTAGACATTCTGCAGAGGGGGGAGACGACAAGAGCGGTGAGCAATGTCAATGGACGCTCTCGAGGGCACTAGTTCTGATAAGGATGGAATAATCAGCCAGTT